GGTCTCCACCTCTTCCGAATCACCCGTCAGCCTTCACGACGAGCCTTCAGAAGCGATCCTCCAGCGCTACGACGCAGACCAGGGCGCCAACGTTGTATATATCAATGGCCCTCACTCGTACGTCCCCAAGCAGCAACACGCACTCCCGCTGTACGACACCCAGCCCTCGAAGAAGGTCAAGACCTCTGCGGGCGGCATCTTCAGCAGGATGTTCGGCCAGACCGGCGCCTATGCCGGCCGCCAGACTACCTATTAATGCCATTCGGTACCCCACCACCCTCGCTTCAACAGCCTAACGACTTTCCTTATTGTTCCCCAATGACATGATCTGATGAAAAGATGCTCACTGGATGGACATCTCTTCGCCCATCTCGTCATCTCTTCTTGCATTGGCCGGCGTTATAACACAATCTCAGCATTTGCATAGCACAGCATTGTACCGGCGTTGGGATATCATCAATCAGTTCGGAATCTTGAATCGCATCTATATTGCGATTCTCGGCGCGACCGCCTCATAGTAGTTTAGCTTTTTCATAGCTTTCTCACAGCCCACAAATAACTATATACCGCGGGTCCTCTGACTTGTCAGATGTCTTTGCGAGTAATGGGAAAAAGGAAAAATAAAACATTTTGTTCAAAACACAATTCTTCCGTCTCGTGTTGTTTCCGTCTCCGTCTCGGAAAGTATATTCTTGGCAACGGGCGTTCTCCTCTGTCAGTGTGATTGAATGACTCTCCCTCCCGTGTATCCCTTCGCGGTTCGCAATTTCCGTAAATTGGGGTCTGACATGCGCGCTAGTGTGTGGGACGGGTATCTTATCTAGCTAGTGCGGACGGATTTCACTTACAGATAGGTCCATGGTTTGGTGGCGCACGCTCTTTCTTGACGCGATTCATCAATACGCGACTTTGTCCAATATTTCTCGCATCGCATGATGTTTCTCATGCCGCACCCAAACAGGGCGATCTAATCGCTGTGCGGTAATTTGGGCGATGCGGAAGATGAGCAAGACGGCATACAGGCAGCACAATAACTCAACTAGGCATAAAATCTTGTGTCCATACACATGCACAGCATGAAATACACCGGCCACTACTCCTACACAACTCGACAGTACAGCCACAACGCCATCCGAGGCCTCAGTAAAATGCACACTCGCCAACTCGCGATGCTATCCAGTCGTTCTGCCTTGTACGACACTTTCTGCGGGCCGCATGCGCAGCCACAATAGGCTGACCACCTGGCCGACCACACATGACACTTTAAACGAACAACTGCACCTGTATACCTGCCACAGAGCCTCCGCAGCCAATATATCTCCAGCTGAACAATGAGTCTGAGAACGGCTGAATCGCGCCGGTCAAGCAAGAAGGGTGCCTCACAACCTCCATGCACCCTCGTCATGTTCGGATCCGAGTCCAATAAACCCCACCGGCATCATCATCAGCAAAACTGGGAATACGCCATGCGCATGTCCCACATCTAACCCGTAACCCGTAACCCGTAACCAGGACTGCAGAAATCTTTTACCTCGGCATCTCTCTTATCTAAGCTATCCCTAAACTATCCCTTGATGTAGAATCCACAAAATGCCAGATAGCGATGGATGGCACGCACGGCAAAGATGGCAATATACGATATGCAGGAGTCAAGGAGCCTAGGGGGCCCGCGTAGATCAAACGGGTTCTGAGTGGCAGGAGAGATGCGCTAAGCTTGGTTTGGGTATGGTGGGGGGTTTCAGGTGGGTGGCTTGGCGGTAGGGTGTTTGGGTGTGGTTGGTTGGTTCGTCCAGCCGAGGAGGAGGGAGGGGAGTTGTGAAGGTCGGTATTTGTTGGAATTTGGGATTGGTGAGTTGGTGGGTTAAATGGATCCCGTTGACGCATTTTTGATGCGCATGCAATTGCGCGTTGGGAGCTGGAGGTGGGAACTAGGGATTGTAGGTGGTGATGTCATCGACGGTCGTGATCGGGTGGGTCTCAGTGTGCGACGCGGTCGCGTTATATGTTATGCACGATACTCTTCATCCTCCTCGTTATACTCGAGCTCACGCGTTCCAGCTTATTGGTCAGTCAGCGACGTGCTCCAATTTTTTTGCGATGCGTCAGATGAACCGTTCACCGGGTTTCAATGGCGCAACACCTTGCGGCTCCCAGAGCTAGGTACCTGGGACACTTCATCCACGATACCCAGGCATCTTCGGCAGTCAACGTCCGACGCTCAGTTAGCAGAAGTCCTATACCGTTCAGTGCATACGAAACTGCACAATGCTTTAAGGCCTACATTCATGCTGCGTTCCTCCATCGAGTAACACGCATTACCTGCCAACCCGACAAGAGCAACACAAGAGCGCAACAAGGAGAACCCGTCGTCCTTCAGCAAGACATCTGCACAATAACAATATCTAGTCCTTGTATAAGATCATGCACATCATCAGAATTATGTGAAGACTTACCGCATGCAGCCACGATCACAGTGGATCCTTCGTCTCAGGCATGAAATCTCGCCGCACCTGATACAACAACTGTCAACACTTGCCTGGTAACACGGGTAGCCTGGCATGCCAATGCCCAAACACTCAACCACCGTCTAAGATGGCCAACATGAGGATTCCTTTCGCTTTTGCCATCTTCGTCGCTCGTTCTTCATCCCCCTTGAAGGTTTTCCGTTCTTTTCGTAACCGCTGGCCGGTCCCTTTTTCGCTCGTTTCTTATAATCTTTTGTAATGGTTCGGCAATTCACCTTCTTACCGGGAGATCGGAGGGATACGGGGGATGATGGCAGGACGGTGCGGTATAGCCATTGGGGACGGTATAATACTTTCTACGGACTTTCCTTTACGACGACGCTTTCGACTGTGCTTTTGCTGGCGCAACTCAACGAATGCAGGGTTACGGGTCAGCTCTTTACTCTTGCGAATAGGTTTCCAGGTTCCGCTGCGTTGGTCGTACAGCTTCTCGCTGCTTTCTTTGGACTTTTGCATCTCGCGGTTATCTGCAAGCTCATCAACTACGCGCTTCGATTGCGGCTCAACAAGGTCAGCGTATCCCTGGATGTGTTGCGCACTTGGGTGGATATGAGCATCATGCGCGTGGACTGGGACTTGCCTCTACGGTTCTTCTTTCCCTCCGTATTCGTTGTTCTTCTCAGCCTTGTGCCTGCGGCGCTCTGGGCTGGTTCAATGACACCATCGGTATCGCGGACGGTGGATAGCGGCATGCTTTTGATCCCAAGCTACGAGAACGTATCGATGATCAAAGAGTATCCGATGATGATTGGCAGTTCGGGACCGTCGCTGCGCACGCAAAAGGGCTTCTTCACGTATTCGGTTGGCCAGCAACAGAGTAGTCAGCTTCTGGCATCAGCTGCCCAGGCGTCTTCTTTGGGTGGAGGGCCCCATGTCCATCGCAAACTCGACAACACTCAGTTCAGCTACCGAGGTCGTTCATATGGCGTCGGAGCATCTATCGGACTCATGGACCAAGGAATCAGGTCGAACAGCCAGGTTGCGGGATACATCTACCAAGAGGAGGGCTACCTGGCAAACGTCACCTGCACGTACAACGCAACTTCCAACTTCACTCTTTCCGGACCAGTCAACGAATGGATCTATGCGGCTTCTGGCAACCTGCCAGACAGCGAAGAAGGCCCGGAATACTCAAACTACATCGGTCACGACGGCAAAGCCATCGTGGCGATGGGCGTAGCGTACAGCGACCGTTCACCTCGCCGCTACCTCGCCATCGCTGCTGGTTCAGCCTATTCCTTCCTCAATACCACGCAATGCGAATTCGACTTCACACCCACCCTCTTCAATGTCACCGTCGACGTCGGTAATCTCAACATCACCGTCAAGCCCGTGCGCACCATGCCCGATTTCAATCCTCAGCGAAACGTCACGCGCACGGTTGTGCGGCAGTTCGAGCTCATGTCTAACGACATGACGAATCTGTATGTTTCGCTGCTTGGCGAAGCGTTCAATTCTAGTATCGCGGCATACAAGATGTCAGAGACTTTCAATAATCGGACGTTCACTGAAGAGGAAGCAACACTGGCGGGTCTCACGAATAGCATGGTTGCCATGGCTGATGATATGCTGGTTGCGTATGCGTCTGCGCAGTTAATGGTTGGGCGCATGTTCACTCAGCAACCAGCCAAAGTCTATGTCTACGCGCTGCAGTTTGGTCAGCCGAGTTACATCTACGCTATTTTCACGCTCAACCTCGTTATCATCCTCGCTGTTGTGTTTGAGGCTGTGCGCACCGCAGCGTGGTCTGCGCTTGGCCGCTTCAACTATCTCGATCCACGTGATCTCATCGTCGCTGCATCTAGAGGTGGAGGCGATATTGCAGCCGCAGCCGACGACATCATGGAGCGGAGAGAAGGGAGGAGGATGAAGCACATCTGGCTATTAAGCGATCCCGACGGCGGCAACGGGTCCCTCATCGTCAACCTACGGGGCGACCAAGACGGACACGTCAAGATTGAAGTGGGCGCTGGACAGTGCAACAGAGACACAGAGAGCGCCTACCCGCCAGACGAGAAGAGCATGTATGTGAAACATGGCGCTGAGACAGAGCGGGGGCCGTTGACACCCAAGACACCTATGAAGATGAAGGTTGGCATTTTCGGGTCAAAGCAATAGAAGACATGGGCTTAAGACATTGCTCGGTGTTCGGCGCTTGGTGCGCTTTGTGGAAGTGGGTGAAAGAAGATGCGTAGATCAGTTAATGAGACTTTGTTGAGACTTTGTGGTTTGGTCAGATGATGAGCATGTGTGGGCTGGAGTGAGTGACATTGGAACGTGACGAAGGAGGGTATGTGAGGAAGTTTGGGCCAGGGGATGGGGGATATAAGAGGATGAGGAAGTTCGTGATGAGTGGACATCAATACAGCATCACATCTTCACATCATCACTACCATCTCACAACACCATCACAACAGCATTCCAACCCTTCTCATCATCAAACCACCAACAACCACCCCAATCATCTCCCCAAAAATGTCATACCCACGCGTCACCCTCACCGCTACCCCCTCCCGCGGCCGCGGCGAGCTCGTCGCAAAACTCAACTGGTTCTTCCGGACGGCCCAGAACGACACCACATTCTCCCCCCACGAATTCGACGCCTGGTTCCTCACTCTCACCGTCGAAGACCGCGCAACCGTTCACGAAATCCTCCAACCGCTGCAGCAAAACTGGCCTAGTCAAGTTGAATACCCCAATGTTATTGCGCTGGTGCACTGGCTGCGTGAGCACCGTGCTGAGTACCATGCGGAGCGGGTTGCAGAGCGAGCTGCTGCCGTTGCGAATGGCGCCGCGGAGCAGGAGGTAGATAGGGTGAATGGGAATTTGGGGGATGTGGAAGAGAAGGTTAGACGGATTGAGGAGACTTTGAAGATGATGCAACAGGCTTCGGGAGCTCCTCAGGAAGAAGCGGCAGCTGCGCCTACGGTACCTGAGCCTGAGCCACCCGTTCCTGAACCCACCAGCCCTGGAGGTATCGACGAGGAGCCGCAGCCCATTCATCCTCGCCCATATCCTGTTGATGGAATGGATGTCCTGGCCGTTCTCGTCATGGTCTTGGCTCCGGCATGCTTGGTACGTCTCCTGATGATCTTGTTCCTGTTCTCGGTTCTACGACAGGCCTCTAATGGTACGCGACGTCTCTAGATCGGTGTAGCATTGCACCGACGCTGGTTCCGGTAGTTTCTGGACTACGGAGTTTGGGATAGAACTGCTTTGAGGATTTGATTGGAGTTTGCGTGGTTTCTTGGTTTCTTTTCTTTGCAAACACTCGCTGGTAGACTGACTGACTGGGTTTCGTTGTTGTCTTTCATTCAGAGGCGTTCTCGTGGTTTCTTGTGGTTTTTTTGTCTTTGCAAACATGTCTTGGTAGGCGTTGTTGGAGTTGGGTGCGTTCTTTCTTGTAGTTGCAAACGTAGACAATAGACAAACCGGAGAGATTCGGGATATAAACGAGCTACTTCCTGTGTATGAGTGAGTCTTCATCCGATAACATCATCCATCATACAAGAACAACTTACAACAACCATCAATCTCAACAACACAAAACCAACAATGTCCAACAACAACAACAACACCACCCCCGCCAGCGACGCCACCATGGCCGAGCGTCTAGCCTACTACGAGAAGTCCTGCAAGCGAGCCGAGAAGCGCATCGAGAAGAAGAAAGCCCTCGTCGCCAAGTTGGAGGAGGAATATGCGGCTCTTCTAGAGCAGCTCACCGAAGCCAGGCTTGCACCGAAACTAGACATGGAGCGCATCGAAGTCCTGGATGCGGCGATCAAAGCGAACAATGCAGAGCTTGAGACTGAGGCTGGGCGACACGAGCAACTGTGCGAGGACTATCAGAAGCTTATCGACATGAAGAACGGGTCGGAGGCGGAGTTCATCGCTCGTGTTGCGGAGTATATGGATAAGGAGGCGGAGCGTGACGGTGGCGATGGTGAAGATGGAGAAGGACAGGGAGAGGACGAGGCTGCCTAGGTCGAGCCAAGAGGCGCGAGGGATGGAGATAGGGTCTGGTGGTCGATGTAGTAGCCTAGAGTAGCTCATCGTCGCTCTCTCATCGAGATCAGAGGCCGACTTTGTGCTTGCGCAAGGCTTTTCCTTAGAAAATACATGTCTTGACATGAAACTTATGGGGTCATTCGCAAAGTGAACGTGATGCAACCTCATCATTCTGAAATGAACATGAGCATGTTGAAAGCCAAGTATCGCATTGAGAAGAATAATCGGCGTTGAAAGGCAAATAAAAGTACAAACGGTAAGTTATGCGAACGCAAAGGGCATGAGGTGAAAGCAAAAAGAGAACCAACGATAACAACGATAACAACGATCACGCTCCCCAGTCCACCATGTCGCTAGTTGTTCCCAAGCTTCAGGTACTCTCGTCGAGGACCTGGTCGCAGACGGCGCGGTGCTTGATGAAGAAGACATCCAGGCCCAACTTGGCCTTGGTGCCTGAAGTGAGAAGAGCCTGGATATTGTCGCATGTTTCAGGGTGGTGCGCACAAAGATCAGCAATGCAGATTGCCAGCTGACCTGTATCCATCTTGAAAACAGAGTAAGCATCGCAGGTATGAGGCATAGTCTCGGTGACCCATTCTTCGTAACTCTCATTGTTGATCGTTAGAATGGCATGGAGTAGGTCGGCTGCGTCGTTGCAGCTGACTCCGGGGATCTCCGGGTCGCACAGGGAATACAGGCAGATCCTTTGATCCTCAGGAATGAAGGCGAAGGATTCGAAATCCGTCGGGAGAGATGGGTCGCTCGCGTGCATTGGCGCCGCGATAGCTCCTGCGCAGTAGCAAGTATCGTTGAAGTGACCGCAGAAGTCGCAGTCAGGTTCGCACTCGCATGTGGGGGCCCGGGAGATCACCGGAGCATCGATGGCTGGGTAGACTTTCTTCATCTCCTCCATAACCTCCTCGCATGGGAAGCCCATCAGGAGTGAAGCATTCACGGGGTCGCAGACTGTGGGGTATATGGCACGAGCATACGACTCTAGTGCCGATTCATCACAATCGTCGACTCCAGTGTGGTACCTCCGGACGATGTTGCACAGTGTAGGGATTACTGAGTGATGCGGGGTTGGTAGGCGTGTTGGCTCAATGTCGTCTGGTGTGTTGCGAGCTGCAGGGACGCGACGTCTTGCCGGGTAAATGACCCTGGCTAGGCATGGGCTGTTTCCTGGTTTTCGTGGCTTCTTGCAATCTGGGCAGTCTGTTTCGCGAGGTGCAGGCGCAGGTGGTGTGAAAAAGCCCCCGCGCGACGTGGTGGACGTGGTGTCCGATGGTGCTGGCCTGTGCGGAATTGCTGGTCCTGATGCGGTACTCGCTGGCCTGGGCGGAAGAATCACTGACGATGTGGACGGCGCCGGTATGAAACCGGGGGTCGGTTCTTCGGAGAACTCAGCGGTCATGCCCATGGTATACGTGAACTTCATGGTATGGACCTCCCGCGATTCGGAACCGTCAGTGTCAGATCCGGAGTCGGAGTCGGTATCCTCTGCCACATGATCTGGAAGGTTGCCCGTGTGAACTTCAACGCTGTCTGCACCGTGGTGTGTAAGGCCAAAATATGGGTAGTCGTAGCACGACATGATATCGGCAAGAGACGTGGAATCTTTCAATGTAGTCACGCGTGGTGACGTATCGCAAAGGACAAGCTCAATGTTGTCTTTAGGGGTGCAAACATGTGTCTCAACCTTTGCGGAGCCGTAGAAGCTCTGGTGACAGCTGTGCAAGGCGATCTTGTTGTGGAAGGGGTTGCCTCGAATCGGGTCCAGGCCGACCCAGACCTTGTCTAAGGTGTCCAGGTCAATCGTGTAGGCGAAGTCCATCTCGTTGGCGCCCCTGTTGATACCTTCGAACTTGTCGGAGATCTTGATGGCAACACCAGGATTGAGGGGGGACCCAAAGTGCCATGGTTCTCGGTACTGACCATGAGGCTTGAGAGGGACGTTTTCGGTGAGTGAGCTGCTGAGCCACTGGGGTACAGACCAGATGTAGACCGTGTATGGGCAATGGTTGGTGACGATAGCTCCGGCCTGAGCCAGAGCCGCGAGTGCGAGGACGAAGAAGGCTTGTCCGAGCATTGTGTTGAAAGGGTTCGGTATGAGAGATGATGCAGTCAGCAGTAGCAGTAGAAAACACTGGAGAAGGGGTTGGAGAAGAAGAAGAGACTCGGGATGGGAGGTGGAGTTTATGAGCAGTCGAACGTGTGTTTACGTGTCGTCATAACGAACACAAGAAGTTGTAACATCGCCCGTTGCTGCCATAAGTTGGAAAGATTTGGGGAGGTGCGCCGGATGCGTTGGGAGGTAGCTCATGCATTTCGTGAGATCTTCCAAGCCTATTGCTACCCTAGCTTCCTGTTAGACCCCCAGAAATATCGGTGCGTAGTCATTTGGAGATGCTCCAGCTGCCGTAGCCGATTCGTAGATGCTAGCAACGTGTGGAACCATTCTTCGAGGTCCATGGTGCTTGCTCATGTAGCTGGAAGGGCGATCACGATCTCGCAAGATCGCTTTCCTGGCGCAGCAGGCCCAATTCGGGAATCGCCTTCTCCTTACCAGTATGAACTGCCACCATGTCTCGAGAAGGAGAGCACGATCAATAACTACAGTCGGTTAAAGGGAAGCCCCGGGGCCGGTCTCTGGTGATCAGGAGATGAAGCGCGTCGCACGGCGGTGATACTTCCCCACCTGTGCGTGCTTTGGCACAAGGAGACTTCAGCATCGCGTTATCACCACAGAAAGAGTCGCATAGGCCGCCATGCACGATGGGTGATTTGTTGTTGAACTCCATGGTGGTGGTTGTATTGTGGGTTTAGGGTTGGTGTGGACAGATGCGCACGGCGAGGGAAGTCGCTTACTCAGCCCCTCACTCGCAGCTTGAAGCACTCTGGCTAGCGTCCTGGAGACCTGAGGCGCGAATGAAACACTGCAAACCTCAGCATCAGCGACAGTACAATAAGAACAGAATGGCCCCGTATACTGTTTGCGCAAGTTGCGCATTCTCACACATCTCACTTTTCGCTCCTGGGTAGCATTGTCGCCGTAATAGATACTTTCAACGCCCGATTCGCGTCCAAGCCTCAACTACGCGCCGACACGCCCCACCATCCTCCATGATTCAACAATCTTCCTGTATTGACATGCCCGCCATGTCTTCCTCAATCAGAGAGGTACCTGTGCAGCTACCCAAGAGCTTCGACCGACCCGACGAGCCATGGCACCACTACATCAATGTCGACCTGATATGGTACGTCCTCGGGTACACGGTCTTCCACCCATTCGTATCATGGGTCGTGGTATTGTGTCTGCGCGCGCAGTACACACCTTATGAGAACATCGAGATGCGCATTGCCATGGCTTGGGCTATGCTCATGACCGTCACCGGCATCTTCGGACTCATCAGCGACCGGATCGCATGGGGATCACCACGCGAGGTGGACCTAGAGGAAGAGGTCATTGTCATAACCGGCGGTGTTGACGGTCTCGGCGGACTGCTGGCAGAGACGTATGGAATGCGCAATGCCAATATCGCCGTCCTAGACATGAAGGAGGTCGATGAAGATGAGGCGGAAAACAAGGGCGTGGTTTACTACAAGTGCGACGTGAGCGACGCAAAGCAGGTTGAAGCTGCCGTAGCCAAGATTGTCGACGACGTGAGTATTCCTCTGCTAGAAGACTGTACTCTGCTAACGACTATAGCTCGGCGCTCCGACGATCTTGATCAACAATGCTGGTATGGTGCAGACCAAGTCAATCCTCGACTCAACCGCTGAAGATGTGGAACGGTATGTATACTCTGGAATCCTTATTGACATCTTCTGACACCTCAACAGCACCTTCCGCGTCAACACCCTGTCACAGTTCACCACCCTCCGTACAATCCTCCCGCATATGCTGAAGGAAGGCCGCGGCACCATCGTAACCGTTTCCTCCGTCCTCGGCCACCTCGGTGCCGCCAACCTATCCGCATACACGGCTTCAAAAGCGGCCCTTCTGGCGCTGCACCACTCGCTTCGCGCGGAGCTTGCTCAAAACCCCGCTGCAAAGGACATCAAGACAATCCTCGTACAACCCGGTCAGATGGGCACAACCATGTTTGCAGGCCTCAAGACCCCAAGCAACTTCCTAGCGCCTGTGGTTACGCCTGCTGATATCGGAAAGGATATCATCAAGCTGATCGAGAGGGGTGAGAGCGGCGAGATTGCGCTTCCTCTATACTCGAAGTACATTCAGATCCTTGGTGTACTGCCTGTCGGCGTGAATCATCTTGTGCGGAAGTGGAGTGGCATGGACAAGGCTGTTGGAAAGATGGGTGAGCTGAGGCAGAGGCAGGCTCTAACAGAGAAGAAGTAATGGGCTTGCTAATACCCACGATCTATCGACCTACACACGCGGGTGGTCTCGGATTAATGTACAATACACGCTCTTGATCTATGCGACTTGACATTGTACGCGATATGACCTTTTCTCTTTAATAATTCTGCGATCACACATCACACAATATTCTGTTATCACGGCATGCGTTTGCATCATGGATCTATGCAAACCCTTACACCGGAACAACATGCCAGTGTTCACATGTGAACGATGGTTTGCGGGGACCACTAGCGCCGTAGGGCTGATCTTAGCGAGCGCTCGCACATCTCGACCCTGAAATCGCGACGACGACATCATCATCACCACAAGAAAATGTAAGAAGATACCGAGCTATTCTGTTTGGTCTAGCAAATTTGCATGCGACACATACTAATTGACTACCAGACTTCCTCTGCCTCAAACCAACACAATGGCCGACCAGAAAGCATCTAAGTACTACGCTGCCGAGGAGGAGGCGCAGATGAAGAAGGTATGCGCATTTCTCGCGATAAATTTTGAGCAGTAGAAAAGACACACAAATGTATATGTTGGAGTTGTCGCGAATATCAAGCTAACAACCCAATTCACAGGCGCGCAAGACAGCCCACCC